GCCTTACTCAAACATAACTGCAGGTTACACTGAGGTTGAACCGGAATCTGCCTTACTAACACAGGACTGCAGGTTACACTGAGGTTGGAATCTGCAATCTGTTTTGTTGGTCTGATGTCAGAATTGAGGCTTTAATTTCAAGATGGTACACTAAACAATCTGGTGTCAGGATAGAGAATTAAATTTCAAGATGGTACACTAAACAATTTGATGTCAGAATTGAGACTTTAATTTCAAGATGGTACATTAAACAATCTGGTGTCAGGATAGAGACTTTTAAATGTCAAGAGATCCCAGAAATACTCTCTTTATGCAGCAGAGAGATCCAAGACACACTCTTTATGCAGCAAGAGATCCCATATATACTCTATGCAGCAGAGAGATCTAAGACACACTCTATATGCAGTGAGACATCCCAGATATACTCTCTTTATGCAGCAGAGACATCTCAGATATACTCTCTTTATGCAGCAGAGACATCCCAGATATACTCTCTTTATGCAGCAGATAGATCCAAGACACACTCTGTAAGCAGCGAGAGATCTCAGATATACTAACTATATGCAGCAGAAAGTTCCCAGATGTACTCTCTTATATGCACCAGAGAGACCCCATATATACTATATATGTATTTCACGCAGGCCAGTGCTTATCCTCTTCTTCGTTCACTGGCTGTCAATTCTGGCAGAAGGTCGTGGTAGATCATCTTTTTGGACTTTTGGCTTTTACCTGGACCCGAGTTTTGCGCGTAGCAACCATTTTACTGGCTTTTGCCATTCCATGCCTCACAGGCAGATGTACTCTGGCTTCGGGGAAAGAAGCACTGATCATTTTGTGTGGGTTTTTTTTTCTGGCATGCTAACGGAACAATCAGAGGGTGACCCACTGCTATGATGTTGGAACTGTGACTAATGGCCAGTTTTTTCTCCATCATTGGCACCACAGAAAATTTTACTGCCAAATATATAAAGTATATTTTAATGCAAAGTTCTTAGGTCACGTGATGATGAGAAAAGGAGTACTAGAAAAATATCATGACGATTTGAAAGATCATTGGTAGAAGAAGCAGATGTAGACCAAGAAAAATGATGGTGGATGCCTTAAGACAGTGATGTGGAGGAGTATCATCAGTGGAACTGATCCAGAACACCACAGACAGATCTTTGGAGATGCATGAACGCCTATGCCAGCTGGCAAGGCACTTGATGATGAGGCTATTTTAGTTAGGTAATCTGGTATTGTTTGCTTATATTTTCATGGCACATTCAATAACATAACATATAATGCCCAGTTTAAAAAATATATATAATTTAACCAGCACAAAAACTAAAAGTCTATGGGTAAGCACTAGTCAGGAAATCAAATTCAAAATTTAGAGAGCATGCATCTTCCCTGTAGTAACATATAGATGTGAGTCATTGACCATCTTGCAATCCTTTAGGAAGGAAATAGAGGCCTTTGAGCTGGAAAAAATGCTACAGAAAGATTCTCAGAATAACATGGACACATAGGGAAAAAAAAATTACATCCTGAAAGATCTGAACATCAAGGAAAACTGGGCAGTTAAAAACTTGTCTCGTAAAGTGAAATATTTTGGCCATATCAAGTGTCATGGTGGGCAGAGAAATAGAAATAACAGTAGAAGGAATGGTACCAGAAAAGAGTATCAAAAGTTGACCAGCACGAAGATTGGCACAGGAATTAAGAGACACCTTAGGTAGGAAAGTGCATGAGGTGGGAGAGCTGACAAGAGAACGAGTTTCTTTGAGGTGGGCTGTGAAGAGAGCTATATTCTGCAAAGGACCAGCTACATAATGATGTGAACATTAACTCTTTTACTACCAAGAAACTCACCATGCTTTTATCAGGTAAAAATCAAATGCCATTTCCACAACGAAGATCGTCTGTAATGGATCTCTTCCAACACTCTCTGTGTCATCTTGGTCATACACTCATTCTCTCAGACTGCTCTCCTCCAGCTTGCATAACTGTCTACCTCTTGCCTCTGATTTTTCCCTCCAGTATAGTTTTTAAAACAGTGTTATATATTTTAAGGTGACCAAATTATTTCACCTTTTTTTTTTAAATTTCTTTCAGCAACTGTCTTTCCATTCCTAGTCTTTTCAAGACCTGTTTTTGACCAATTTTGTTTGTTGCCATTAAATGTGACCTATTCTTATGTATATCCGCATTTCCAGAAGCAAATTTTGATTTCCTTGCTGCTGGCTTACAGTCCAGGTGTCTGCACCATACAGTAGGCTTGAGTATACACAACATTTGATCATTCTCATTTTTTTATGTACTGCATGTTTATGGATTACTCTGTACATGGCATACACTTCTGAACTTCTTCTGTTATGACAATCCACTATCACAAGTTCGTGGGTTCAGTCCCTAGCAGAGCCAGACTTTTTTCAAAAATGAGCTTGGCTCCCAGGTCAACCCAGCCTTGAGTGGGTACTGGGTGCAGTCACGGGAAGTAAAGGCGGCCGGCCTGATGCTGACCACATCACCCATCTTGTGACGATAGGTCCATAAAACTTAGGTCTAGCCCTATATGCCTAAAGGCGTGGAAAAGGGTCCTTAACTTTTTTTTAACCTTTTTACTATCACAAGTTAAATAGAAGAAGTGAAAAAGCACTATTTTTACCATTTCGCTGGGCACAGCTGGTGGTGAATACCATATGTCCTAGCATGATCAGACAAGAATTCTTTCATGTGTTTATGTTACTATTTACCTGTATATTTCTTTGCCAGGGATGAGAATAAAATACATGGCAATTACACTGTGTTTCTTCTTCTTCTTAGTCCATGCTGTGTATGTAGCATTGGTAGTCACGTCTCTCCACAACCTTCTGTCTCGTGTACTTTCAAACAACTCTGAACACAGATGATCCTCCATGCCGTGATGTCAGACTATCCAGCATCTTTTCTCTCAGTCTTCCTCTGCCTCTCCTCCTCTCCAACTTTCCCTACTGTCACGATGTACTACAGTCAGTCTTCTGTTTCTCATCACATGACCAAAGAACGCAAACTGTCCTCTTTCTGATGTGGACAATCAGTCCTCTTCATAAGTCAGTTTCTTTCAAGACACCCTCATTACTCTTTTATCTGTCCATGGTATTCTCATCATTCGTCTATAAAACCCCATCTCACAGCTTGCAAATAATTTTTCACTAATCTACCAACTGACCATGATTCACTTCCATATATCAAGATATGATTTATATAGCTTTAAAGAGTTCTCTTTCTCATCTCAATTCTTTCATCTAGTTATGCTAATATTTAACTGTATTTTTGTTTGCCAGAGATGAAAAGGATGAAGATGAAATAACAGGGCAATTACACTGTGTTTTTTAGTACTGTCAAATACAAGGGTCCTTCCAGTGTTTTCATTAAAATAAATTGTGTGTGCTCTCCTCACAATGAGGCAGTGGATATGTATACCTACTGCTGCGGCTGGGAATATTACACATTGATGCCCCGACATGGTGATGCCTCACATGGTGAGGCCCAATCTCTTCTCGAGTTTACCTAGTGTCAATTTATTTCCAGTGTATAAAACATAGAGTCAAGACACCCAATAGATAATGGCATTAAAGTATGAAGTGTATGGCTTCACACTTAGTTCGCAGCAGGAGTGCATCCACCTGTGAGACGAACAACCAACAGTCTACACACAAATAAAACACATCAGTAAAATGGATGAATATACTCCATTCCCGCGACTAAAGTCCAGAAGTTTATGAACAGGAGCTGCGTCAGCGCAGTCGATATTAGGCCCGCTTTCAAATCCAGCTGTGATTCGCTGCAGCCTATGGCCGGTGTTTGAAACCGGGTGGCTTCCAGGGTTCACCCAGCCTCTAGGAAATGGGTACCAGAGTTAACACTCTGGGGTAAATGGAGGAAGTCGCTGTAGCTACAGAGTTTCGTGCGGAGGTGACACAGGCGGACAGTTTCTTATCAGCTGTCCATACTGGTGGCAGAGCACTTATGGTTTATAACAGTGTGCAGTGACGTTGGTTCACATCTCCCAACTTTACCTTTTTCTTTTTTTTATTTATGAACAACATGGAATTTCCACCAGAATTTACAGCCGGGTAATGCTAAAAGAAGAAGAAGAGGCCCTCTCATAATCTAGGCCACACTGTACAAGGTGAGGTGATCAGTTACACCCTTCACTGACTTTCCTTATGATCACATTTTCTGCTACACATTTTAAAGAAGCTGGGTCAACCGCAAAGCCTACTGGTTGAAAATGCAAAATCCTACTTTTGGTGTGGACTCAAACCCAGACCTCTGTTTAAGCAAGCAAAACCTATTCCATACGAAGCTGCAGCTACCAATCAGCAAACAAGAAAGATTTTTCTTCTGTATCAATCTTAACTCTTTCGATACCAAGCATCACATCATGCATATCTGAGCTAATACATATAGTTTTTAATTGTCCCCAACTAGTTTCATTCCACACACACACAGTAAATATACCTGTAATCCCCTTTAATAATTGTTTTCTCAATACTGTAAAACATTTGATACCACGTGCTACTTTAACTCCTATTTTTGAAGACAGGCATAACTTTACAATAACAGATATCAGGTTCTAAAGAGTTAAAAGGGTGGTTAACAGGTCATGTTGTGGTATACAGCTATGCTGTAATACCTGTGAATTTTTGGCGCAACAAATAACTTAAGCAAATCTTTAATATAGTCGCCATTTATAACATACTTGTTAAGAAGAAGTCAGGGTATTCTTTTTCCCTACATTCCTCGGAACCTAGCAGGGAATAAGAAAGATGAAACTGAATGCCGAGCATCAAAAACCCATGCTTCAAACCTCTTGCATGCAGAGTTACAATTGCAATATACAGGCAAACACCACTCAAACCATGATAATAATGATGATAACATTGTTTACATTATCTGTGATGTAATCAGTTATGGACATAAATAAGATAATACATTGAAAACACAAACAGGTCTAGTCACATGACTTCTGACTATGACACGCTGTTCACATGGGGCGGGGAGATTTTGGGAACCATGCTGGTGTTTGGAAGAGTTATCCCAATGAGTGAAGCAACTTTGTCTCTATCTTTCTGAAAATACACAGAAGGAACAAAATTTATTCTTAACGCGGGTTAAGTTCTCAAGAACAGCAACAACAAACAGTGAATATAATTTTCAACAAAGAAAACTGTATTGTGTGGTGTAGGTAAGGGAGGGAGGGAGGGAGAGAGGGAGAGAGAGAGGGGGGAGAGAGAGAGAGAGCGAGCAAAAGAGAGAGAGAGAGAGAGAGAGAGAGAGAGAATGTGTGGTTGTGGGCGCTCTTAAATGGATTAAGCTCTCAACAATAACACACAAAAACAATAAATATAATCGTGAACAAAGAAACATTATTACCAACAAACAATTATATTCATTTTTAAATGCATCAAGCATAGAAAAAGACCCCGTTTCCCACTATGAGGTCTTAGGCATAGGGTGTCTCCTGCGTGGGTTCCAAGACCCATTTTTTTTTTAGAAAAAGAGAACAGAACCACTGCTCCCTATCAGGCATGTCATTAAAAAAAGGTGAATAATTAATAATTCGCTCAAATCAGATTTCCTGGGCCAAAATGCAGGAACTTCACAGCCTCATTGTAAAACACAACACAGCAAGCCAACACCCTTTTAGGAACGAATGCAGAACTAGAAGGTAAGTGGTGCTAGACCAATATTTTGTAGACCAATCAACACTTGATTGGTCAAATGGTCAAAATCACATATTCATAAGGGGTAAGTTGTTTTTTTTTTTTTTGGGTCCTTGTTGAAATATTTGTATATATAATTTTGAATTTTACAAATTATTATTATCAACACGCAAGTACATTCATGTGTGGTTTTCAATCACCAAAAAAAATTTTTTTTTCAAACAAAAAGAAACATGCATATTAACTTGTATAAACTGTCTTATATACCAATTCCTTCAGAAATTATTTCAGTAAACAGTGACTGAAAAGCTTAAAAAAACGGGGAAGCAGAACATTGTGCATAAAACACACAAATCGAAATTTTGTCCTGGGCCTTTCTTGATAGGAAAAATATTAGCCGGACCAACAGGAGTCACCCCTGTTTTCACTTAGCCGGACAGACAGGAGTCACCCCTGTTTTCACTTAGCCGGACAGACAGGAGTCACCCCTGTTTTCACTTATCTGTTCAGAACTTCACCCTTGATGTTTTTTTAATCCCTGCATGGCATTCACAGTATTCTTCTAAATCAATAGCTCCCAATTCAATAAGACGCCCAGGACCCCCTTTAAATTTTTTTTATTTTTTAGTCTTCCAGGGACCCTCCACTTTTCAAAACACTGGTCCTAGTGTGAGTTCTGGGGCCTGTTGTGTGGGGGAAACAAGAATAGACCCACTGCCTGCCCAAGCAAGTCATAAGAGTAGGCTAATTGTGGGGCTTCCTTTGAAGTTGGAGTGCATCTGCCTGAGAGGCAAAGAACCAACAGTCTGCATACAAATAAGTCAGATCTGTAAAACAGATGTGCGCGCAACACTCAGGTTCTGTAACAAGACTTAAGTCTGGAGGTAGAAGAACAACCAGAACCTGCCACCAGAACTTGCAGCCTATGACGCAAAAAAAAAAAAAAAAAAGGCGAACAAAAATACCTGTTTTTAAAAGAGTAAATCTATATTAGAATCAAAACGAAAAAAGGCTGCAGGTTTTTTTCTCTCGTCTAAATGATTTCATAAATCCATTACATTTGTTTCCCTGACTTCAGGGACCACCAATTAGGAACCATTCATCTACACCATATCTCTGTAGTTACCCAGTATCTTCTGCTGACTGTCCATGACTGACTTCTGTACGTCAGATTTCATGCTGTATTACTCTTATGAAATATCCTTCCAGAAACGTTTCAATCACCGGTGGAAAGATATACAACTGAACAAAAAGTAGATCAGCAAGCTTCACAATATAACAAACACAAACAAAAAGTGAACACTGCGGCTACAGAGCCTTCATCAGCTCATACATAAATCAAACAAAATCACACAAATACACAAAAATATGTAACTGACGTATCCCGAAGCAGCCATGTGGATGTCTTGCCAGTGGAATGGCAATACAGGCAGTCTACTTCAAAGAAGACTGTGACCCTACATTTCTCCCAATAGAAGTATACTTTTTTCAGCAGGCCAAGTGTATTGTAAAAATACTAGAATAAATGGCAAGTGACTAAGAAATAAAGTACTTTATCATTTTGTGGAAATGTGTTTCAACTTTCTAATGCTTACTTCATTGATGAAACCATGATAAACCAAATCGTCAGCTAATGATTCGCCAGTGTCGTTGGTCACCTCACACTGCAACTGCCGGTTTATCTGGTCATCAAAGCGCACTAGCAGTGTCAGTTGAGGGTGGGGACTATCTTCCAGTCGTGTTATCTGTGCATGAAAGAAGGAAATCTGCTGGTTTGTAAATACATCACCTTTATCATTTTCATCACTTATTTAGTATTAAAGTACTAGGGGATCTGGCATACGCTCAACACTCGGGAGAAGGGCGAGACGGAGATACAATCAGACAGTTACTGGTGCCATCAGAATTGTTATTCTTCGTTTGCTGCTGAAGATGGGGACAGGGCGCTTATGGAGGTGTTCCGAGCGCTTTGATGTTAATTCTTAATTCAGCATTCAGTATCAAAGTATCATAAAAAACATCATCAACTTTGTCACCCCAGAATCCCTTTTGAGCAAAAGCCCAAAACATGGACATTCTCAGAAAAAATTAAACAATTACAGGTCACTAAAAGAAAATTGTATTTTCATAAATCTGTAAAAATTTTCAGAAATATACGAAGAAAAGTCATCAATAAACATGGGTGGAGTTGAGAATTAGCAACTATAGTTCCTTGGTACTTAAACAAACCAATTCATTTGACGACTCACACCATGTCCCTAATTACTAAAGGCTGAAGAAGAATTATGACTTCATGATGACTAAAAAAAATATAAAGCCATTTCTTTCACAATAAAAACCACCCCAAATGATATTTTTAGTAATTATAATTATATCCAGGACTCTTAAAAACTGTGCAGGTGCAAACATAACCAATGTTGTTAACTAGGCTGGTCAGGGACTGGCCAATGCGGCAATGCTGGTTTAGCAGCATCTCAGGGCCAAAGGGTTGAAGTCCGTTTACTGGTCATAGTTTGATAAACAAAATGACATGTATTGATTGGTACTCATAGACGCAGAGGACAGAATTAAGGATAGGAGGACATACTAGACAACATAAAAAGCTAAAGCTAGTTACCATACTCGGAATAAAACTTGCCACCTCCAACTAATGACAGCCTTTCACTGAAAGAACAAGTCTACTTTGCAGCAGAATCACTTGCTCATCATGTGCCATGCTGATAAACATAGGCTATCCTGTTTCACCATCTCACACGATCACCAGAATTATGGATCAAGTCAGTGTTCCTATCTCTCCCCAATCCATTTGGCTAATGCATCCAGGTATTTATCTCTTTGCCTTCCTTTGCTCTCCTTCTATAAATCTTGCTGGTTGTAACCAAATTCTGGAACCCATTCCTTCTCATAACATAAAAAAAATATATAAAACAACTGTCCTTGTCTAATTTTTATAAACAGTTTATGATCAATTAGACATCCCCACAATTCTTATCATCATCATCATGTAGAAGGTCCTTTACAGAACGTCGCTCTTATCACGGTCTGCCTGAGAGAAACCTTGGTCTCTCGCCATCCCTCCAGCCTCGTGTATTTTCATATTCAGGGAGTCACTTATATGCTGTGCCTATCTTAAATTGTGTGTGTGTGTGGTGTGTCAATATTAGTCAGGTCTATCATTCTAGGGAACACTTAACTAATGAATACGGATAGATTTTGTAGCTATATTCATCAGTTGATGTTAATCTGTTTACTGCTGTTACAGCTTCACATCAAAGAAGTCACACCACAATTGCTCCATTCCTGTGTGGGCAAAAACCACAGGAATTTCCATAACCGCCCCTTGTGGAAAAAAAACTGAAAAAGATGGCAAAGCCATTAGCGTACACATGTATTAAATGCATAAGACAGCAGTCAGATGTACCAACACAATCAGTCGACCACTAGAATTATCCACACACAGTCAAAGCAGCAATTAACTGAATAATTGACGCTAACATAAAACAACCTACATGACATGTCATGGAAACAATCAATCTTGTTTCAACATCATATGGCTCCGGCGTCTCTGACTTCACCGACTCAGCAATCTCAGGGCTGGCAGCGCGTGGGCGGCTCACTGGAGTATAACTCATGGCGTACGCCGTCAAGGGATAAATTCCGTTCCTGCAGATGACAAGAGAGACTGCTAGTAAAATTAATAACAAAAGGGATGATTTTCATGCCAGATGTATATTCACTTCGCTGACGTACAAGGTGGAAGAGAAGAAGAAGGAGAAGAAGAAGAAGAAGAAGAAGAAGAAGAAGAAGAAGAAATCGAAGATGAAGAAGAAAAAGAAGATGATGATGCATACTGAGTTTATTTTTTTTTTTTAAACTGTGCTGTCTCCACAACAGATAAAATATGCAGAAGACTTCAAACAAGAGGATAATAATTTCTCTCTGGGTCAAAAGCAAAGTCTAGAGACACCTATTGGAGCAATGTAGTGTGAAAACCACACAGGAGCTCACAGACGCTATATCAACCAATGCAGAACAGAAGTCGTAAGCATAAACACACTAAGATTTATAAACTTTCCTGTGTGTGCAGTTATCTTCATATTCATCCCAGGTAATGCAGGCGTTGTTGGTAATGAAAGAGCTGATAGACTGGCAGGTGCTGCATTAATGAAAGATGGCCGGCCCATGGATCACGCAGACATTGTTATGCCCTTAGAGATATAGGACGTTCTGAGGATTTTGGAAGCAACGTTTCCACATCACTGCTAAGAATAAGCGAATTGGGAGTAAAGATCGGCACCGCCAAGCATGAGAAACACATCGGACGCACGCAAAGTCTTGTTAACCAATATAGGACTGGCACTATTAACCACACGACGCTGATGAATATGTTGAGAGGGGAATCAAGAGCGCCTATGGATGTGTCCGGAGGGCTGTGAAGATAATTTAATACTGTAACAGGGGTCTCCTCAAAATCATCAAGGAGCGGCACTGATATGAAATCAACTACAGAATGAGAGATGAATAGACTTTACCCACACCAGAGTTGGATTCGAGTGTATACAGATGGTTCAGCCAAGAGAGCAGTAAGAGACGGAGGAGGAGGAATATACATAGAATGCCCAAATGGTTTTAAAATCAACCAGGCTGTACCAACAGGTTCATATTCCTCCAATTACAGAGCAGAGGCAGAAGCACTTCTAGCCGCATGTTCTTTCCTGAATGGACAACAGCACAGCAAATATAGCAGAGTGGTCTTTCTGACTGATGCTATGTCAGTTCTACAAGCAATTGTTAACCCAAAAGACACTCAGTTTGTGGACTTGACGCAAACAGCTGATTTACTTAGGCTCTTCAGTAGAACAATCTGTACTGCAGTGGATTCCAGGTCACTGTGGCTTGGAAGGCAATGAAATAGCGGACAGATTGGCCAGAAGCGGCAGTGACATGGTACAACCAAATAGCGACTTAACCCACCAAGAGATGAAAACACTAATACAATCTAGTATCCAAGAAAGGTGGCTGGATACCCACAACAGATTTTCTCCTCGGACTCACTTCATCGCCTCTCTAGAGAGGGACAGTCTATTATATTCAGCACTAAGGACAGGACACAACAGATTTCGTCAACATTATATGTTCAAATTTTTCGGTGTAGGAAATACGGAGACGTGTCCCTGCAGCGTGGCACCCGAAAATGCTGAGCATGTGCTCCAACACTGTCAACTGTATGCTGACAACAGAGACGCAATCTGGCCTGTTCCAACCACAATGAAGACAAAACTGTTTGGTACACGAGAGGATATGGATTGCACGATAGCTTTCATAAAGGCTATCGGCCTCCTGATATAAGTTTTCTGACAGAAGGATCGAAGAAGAAGAAGAACACTAAGAAACACCCTTAGCTAAAGATCAGTGCTTTTATGGGTATGTCTAAAGTTTGATGAAGATGGTCTTGAAATAAACAATGAACATTCTGACAACAGAGAGACAAGACAGGTAGTGTATAAAATGTGAACAGACTTACTTGACATCATCTAAAAGCTTGTCAAGCTCCAACGGTGGTGTCTGGGAAACCCTGTTGAACAAATTCAAACATTTAGTACATTAAACGAGGAGCGGCTGGCTGAACGGTTAGAATGCTGGGCTCTCAAGCTGGAGACCCAGGTTTGAATCCTCTGTAAGGCTGGGGATATTTTTCTGTCAGCACTAGACACACGGCCGTAAATCCTCAGGCTCTAAAGTCGTATAATAAAGGCAGTAATTGGCAGTACATTAAACTTGGGTCCACTAGTTCAATATCTCCCTGGCTTTGCGCCAAACTCACCAAAAGTGCTAAATCCTTGTTTTGAGATAACTGCATTTGAACATTGATATCTCTATGAAAAATCACAAAGCAGCAAATCTTCTTCTTCTTCGCATTCACCAGCTGTTTAAACTCCGGCGGAAAGTTCTGGGTTTTTCCCCCCACCTCCAGACTGTAGGCTTGTTCCAAACTTAGTGGTGCATGCACATCCGTTTTACAGAACTGGCTTATTTGTGTGCAGACTGTTGGTTCCTTGCCCCTAAGCTACTCTGACTTTGAAGGATGCTCTCAATCAGTTGACTCGTACGACATGCTTGCTGGGGATGGGTCCATTCTTGTTTTTCCCTATAATGGAGCCCTGGAACCCACACAGACACAATGTGGCAAATGAAAACTGTGTATGCATAAACACTAATGCTTAATTTTGCTGTATGTATATCTTTGACATATTGTCAAGTGACAAATAACAACCCTGTTTGAGGTTTGAAGTTTGAACAACGAATCAACATCATGGCACACGGGTAGTAACCCATAAGTGCTCCGCTCTACTTTTAACTCAAGTCTGAGTCCGGAGAAGCTCAGCACAGTGCACAGGCTCTGTAGCACCGGCAAGGATCCTGAAATTTTTTGGGTAGATTTTCAACTCCACATTTTGCCCGGACAGTTAGGCTACTCTTTTCGATTTCTAACTGCTATGGGATTTTTTACGTGCGCAACAATGCACATGAGTGTCCGATCTCACTACCCAGAGACCAGGGGAAATTACTAGAAATCCACGTGAAAAAATCCCAGCTCTCATCAGGGCCTGAATCCAGGACCTCTAGCACACGAGGCCGACACCATATATCCAGACCATGCAGCACCCCCTAAATAACAACCCTGAGAAGTTGCTAAGCAATATCCAGAAAAACAAGGTGAATCAAGTAACTTGCAGTCAAATGTGGGGATGGGACAATGTGATAACACTGCTGGGATTATCAGCAGTTTCTTCTGCTTCTTCTCTGCATTCACCGGCTGTCAACTCAGCAGAAAGTTCTGGTTCTTCATCTACCTCTGGATTTTAGACTTGTTCCAGAACCTGAGTGTGCATGCACATCCGTTTTACAGATCTGACTTATTTGTATGCAGACTGTTGGTTCTTTGCCTCTCGGGCAGATGCACTCGACTTCGAAAGAAACCTCCACTTAGTCTACTCTTACGAAATGCTTGTTTGGGAGGCAGTGGGTCTATTCTTGTTTTCCAAAGAATAGGGTCCCAGAAGCAGAATTTTTTCACCTCACTGGACTTCAATACAACCCAACCTAAAATGGCCACTTATAAATAATATACTAGATATGTCTCCAGGGATCAGTTTGTTTGCTTGAGTATATTCAAGAAGCACTTTCACTGCACTTGAAATTATCGGAACCCACGGGGAATGATTGCCATTTAGCATAATAATAACAATTATTGTTAATAATTTTAACAAGACTTGGACTCATTCAGCACCCGGCCCCCGCCCCCTCAATAATGTGTAATTCTGGGTCCTTTGGGGGAAGAGAACAAGACAACCCACCCCACCCCCTCCAACAAGCTTGTTGTAGCTGTCTGCTAATTAGAGGTATTTCCTTTAAAGTCGGAGTGCTTTGTCTAACAGGCAAGAAACAATCAGCGTACAAACAAACCAGGTGTTTTAAAAAAAAAAAAACACAGATATGCCTGCAAATCTCAGGTTCTAAAACATGACCAAAGTCCGAATTAGACCAACACCCATAATCTTCCACCGGAGTTTTCAGCCAGTAAATGCTAAAAAGGAGAATAGCATCTGGCACTAATGTTAGCCTGGGAAACAAACACAGAGCAACTGTTACCAAAATATGGTTTGAAATTATGCATTATGAAAGTTATACATACTTTAAATGAACTATCTGGCCACCCATACTGGGGATCTCAGCAATGACCCGGTTTGGGTCATCATTTTTAGCCACCTGGGTGATTTCTGTGATATTTTCAGCTAACAATACTGGGGATTACAAATATGAATCATTATGGTTCATTACAAAGTAGTTATAGCTTTCAACAAACTTAAGATTCAAACTTAAGACTTTCAACAAACTTAAGATTTTCAACAAATTACTTCAACAAATTAAAACTTTCGCTGGGCATTTTCAACATCATGGCTTTCAACAAAAAACCATCTGTGTAGATCCTGAAACTGAGTTGTAACCCCTTTGGCATACTATGGTATAATGAACCCTTCGGAACTGATTCCATTAGATTGAGTCTCTGGAAATGTGGATATACAGAGTAGGTTGTTTTCATGGAAACAAAAATAGTTCGACAGAGGCTCTGGAAAGACTACAAATTAAAAAGAGAATTATGAGATTTTCAACAAACTTAAGATTTTCAACAAACTTAAAACTTTCAACAAACTTAAAACTTTCAACAAATAATACGGTGTTAAAACCATATGGGGAGGGGGGATGAGGACAAGAGAGCGACAGATAGGCAATGATACAAGTAGAAGGACAACATTAAGAGATGGATGATCAGCAGCTTGAGAAAATATACAACCAGGACAAGAGATACAGCGTGTTGCAGCAAACCTTCAACAAACTTAAGATGGCACCTTATTGACTCAAAAAGGTAAAATTAGGACATTTTACAATTAAATCAAAGATTGCTGGGCATATAATGGCCACACCAGTCATCAATTGTGAATTAGTAAAACAATGTGGGACTAGAAGCCTAGGTACAATGTGCCTCACTGCATAAAAGGTTTTTTTTTTTTTACTTTTGTTGTTTTTTAAACAAAAGTATGCCAACAAAGACTGAAATCATCGAATGAAACGAGAATTATGAGAGCCTAAAGACTACTTCTTCTTTTTCTGCCCTTCTAAAAGACATAACACAGTGCACAGGCCTTACTGAACCAACTCACGCCAAGAAGAGAGTATAGGTTCGCAATCACATGCAACTCTCCCCATGTCCTCCCCATCTTTTACAACTCCACTGTCTAGTTTCCTTCTCCATGCTTTGGGGATTGGGGGGGGGGGGGGGGGTGTGTCTCCCTTTATTTCTATGCCCCTGTGGGTTCCAGTGCAAAGACCTTCTAGTTATATTGTTCTCAGGTTGCCCAGCCCTAAACAGGTACCAGGTGCGGTCCTTAGAAGTAAAGGCAGCCGGTGTGATGCTTGATGATGACCACCTTTGGGAAGCGATTATCGTTTATCACCCGCTTGTAATATTGTTCACAGGCATCGCTACCTAACCAAGTGTCTAACAGTTGTCTGATTTTGCTTCCCTCCTATATGTAAAGTCCCCCCCCCCCCACTCCCCCCCCACTCCAGCACACCTCATTACCATCTGACCAGCCCAGTGAATTTAGCAGGCAACAACCACATCACCCACCGAGTGCCAACTGGTCTATAAAATATATGTCTAGCCCTATATGCCTGAAGGCACGGGAAAAGGGTCCTTTCCTAGAGAATGTCAATTAAACAGAATATAAACTAAACCAACCATTTGACTTGACAATCTTGTGCGCTGCCAGAAGTTTGAGTGAGTGAACTTCAAATAGGACCTTGTGAAACAACAACTCTCTGGCTGTTGGTCGTAATTTGGGATCTCGCTGCAGGCAGCTCTGAATGAAGTCCTAACAAATGGAAAGGAAGAAGAATTTATTTCCAGGTGATGCTGTTGAAAATACATGATTTCCTTGTCTGCGATGCTTTTAAAAATACACAATTTCCTTGTCTGTGATCATTTTTAAATATCATATTTAAATGGTTTGTCAGCTGATATCTAGTGGGGGTGGGTGTGTGTATGTGCATGCATTTCTCTAACTCGCTCTGTGTGTGTGTGTGTGTTTACGCACATGTGTGTATATAAACTCTCAGAGGACTGGTATATTCAGGAACTCCTTAAACTATATAATCCATCTATTAATTTCATTAATGATGTTTCTGAAAACACTCCCATGACTATTTTTTGGTCAGTCTATTCAGTTCAATTTTGTTATTTATCCTTCTCTTCATTATTTCCAGGTACATCATCGAAGTGTTGGGGGTTATGAAGGGTGTGCTATTTTGAAATCCTTTCCTCCTTTCTTTAAGGATGTTTTTGATGCCGTCGTTCCAACATATGGTAGGTCTTCCCCTTGCCCTGTATCCATTTTATTTCTTCTGGGCGGCTAAAGTGCGGACAGAACAGCCACAGGCAGACTGATCAGCCCTCAAGAAAAGGCAGGGGCAGAATATGGGCATTCCCTGCCATCAAAGCTGATAGAGGAGGCCCTGGTTCTGGGCTCACCCATGGAATCATCCCATTCTGCACATCCATATACTCAGCCTTCAACTTTTATGAGCTGCCCATTAGGGATCACCAGGTAGCAGTTCATAGACACAAGAATTTTATTACTTTTAAATAAAATGGGGCATCTGGCTTCCTCAGTACGTTAGACTTCTCTCAGGCATGGCTTCAGTGTGAGGTCATTACACTCCAATAAAGTGTGGTCAATAGTAGCAAAGGTTTGACATTTTTGAGTCATAAAGTAGCATCTTTGAGCAAAAGACATCTGAAGATGAGTAGCCATTAGAACTAAAGATTCTTCATCTTCTTCTTCGATCGTCCAAAGATATTATTGCGTTGTGTCCGTTTACAGCATGGCTGCAATATTTGCACCTTTCGGTCAATACATCCGAAATTCTGCGGGCATTTGTTGACCGGGTTAGCCTTCCCGGTGAACTAAAGATTGTCAATAAGTAAGATGTTCAGCCAGCAAACTTCACTCATGTTCCTAATGAGTCATCCACCACAGCAAGTCATTATTCTATGACTTAGAAGAGGACACAATTGACTTTGCAGCCACATGTACCCAAAATTTAACTCTGGTGAATTTGCCATTTATACTCATGGACTGGCACCAGAGATAACAGATCACAACCTCCATGGCTTCCAAATACAACAAATCAAGGTAAAACTTCTGGCCAAGAGAAACATCGGTGCAGGTCAAACTTTACAGACAACACTGCACATGTGATACAGATAATCTACTTCAGTCAAGCGAAAGAAGAAGTAGTAGTAGTTTTCTATGAGATATTATCACCCATGCATTGGGCGTAGGTTGCTCAGTGCCAGAGGATTTCTGGACACTACAGCTCTGGGGCCAGTAACTCTGAGATCCCCTGCCAGCTTGGCTTAGGCTGCTGTAGGCCATTATCTGTGGTGTGTAATGTGGCACAGGGATGTGTAAAATCAGCACACAGCCTGAGGTGAGGCATGGAGTGTGTCTTTATTGTAGTACAACTTTCCCTCATGCCTGAGACACGAATCATCAAATTACAAACACAGATTATTTATACACACACACACATACACGCACATTTGTATAAAAATATTTTGAAATATATGAAGGGGAGTAATCGTAAACGGAAGGAATATGAGAATTATGCTAGCAGTTCAATTAGGCAAATAAAATGTATAAGGTGACTCAGATGATTATGTTGCTATGCAGCCACTAAGACTAAAGGCAAATGTTATCGTCACAATGTCTCTTTGAAAATAAAAAATATTATAAAAAGTAAACATCCCCGTTCATCCTAAACACTGCACAGGCTCAAAAAGAATCAATGTCATTACCTAGGTTTACCAGGAACTGGCCAATGAAACAGGGATTTGTAACGGATGGCTATGCTGGATTATCTCAGAACCAACCAGTTAAGGGAACAGGACTTCCAAAATTTTGCATTTTACCTTCTGCAGTGGAGTCTCCACCTGCTCCAAGGAAGCATTAATAATATCTTTCTCTGAAGTCCCTGTCTCCCCATTTGTCTGAAACCCAAGTGTTGCCATCTGAAAGTCATAAACATAAACATTAAAACACTGTCTGTGATATACTCTGCTTAAAAAATAGTCTATATAAAACAACAATTTGATATCCAGCAAATATGATGATATTAATATAGTTTATATACAATCATAACTTCCAATAAGATTTGTAAGGAAAATATGTAAAATTTGGCTTTAAATCTTCTTCTTCCTCTTGTTTGCATCCACCAGCTATAAACTTCAGCCAAATATTTCTGGTTGTGCATCAACTTCTGGACTTTAGCCTTGTTCCAAAACATGAGTGTTGCATTCACATTCATTTGACAGATCTGGCTTATCAGTGTGCAGACTGTTGGTTCCTTGCCTCTCAGGCAGATGTACTTTGACTTTGAAGGAAACCCCTAATTAGTTGACTCCTATGACATGCTTGTCAGGGAGGCAATAGGTCTGTTCTTGTTGTTCCCCACAATGGGGCCCCAGAACCCACACCTGGAGGTTTAAAATAAGTGGTACATAGGACTTCACCACTCTCTGTCTGTCTCTATCTCCCTCCAATTCTCTCTCCATCTCCACCCATCCATCTATATATGACTAGCAACAATGTTTACCTCTAGAGCACACATTCCAAAAGAATAAATATCCACTTTTGTTGTCATTTGTTCACTGTCTGAAATATACAAGATGCAAAAACAATATAGTTTGTTCTACACAGTAAATACTAAAATTAGCAATATTATTTTAGTCAATATGTTTTTTGTATCATTCATTCATTCAGTAGCATGTCCCTCGCGGAACCTCGCTGCCATAACAACCCTCCGGAAAACCTTCCTATCATGAGCAAGATGTCCTGCGTCTGATACACCCATCTGGAGATCATCTGCCACATCCTGCACCCATCTTCTCCTTGGCCTTCCTCTTCCTCTCTTCCCAGGCATATACCCCTCCATTATTGTTCTCTCTAGACTTCCATGACGTTTCAAGTGACCAAAATATTTCAATTTTCTTTGTTTTATTGTCTTTACTAGCCAACCCTCTTCAATATTCAGCTCTTGAAGTATGGATGCATTTGTTCTTTTCTTTACCCAAGATATTCTTAGAACCTGTCTGTAACATTTATATTCAAATGCATTTATGCGCTGTTCCGCTTGTTTAGTAAGTGTCCAGGTCTCACAGGCATATGTTGCAATGGGAAAGATTTAATGATGTAATCCATTTTTGTATCACTGTTTGAATACTCCAAATATCCAGGACAACATAGTGTTCATAAGATGTCTAAAGTATCCAGGACAACTTAGCATTTAAGTCTGTCCCAATTATCAAGAATAACATCGGATGTCAGGAGTATCTAGGACAACCTTAATGTTTATTGGGTGGTTCAAGTATCAAAATTAACTCTTGTATTCACTGGATACTCCAAGTATTAAAAAAACTTAAAGTAGTACGCAGTACCGGATCCTTTTTGGCCATCATTACTTTCAGTGCTACCATAAAAGACAGTGGCAAGTACCACCACTTTTTTTTTCCCTAGAAAAAAGATCTGATTTGAATGAAAAGGTGTGTTCTTGTTTGAAAAAAAAAAAAACTATTTATACTGTTTTTGTTCATACAGCTTTGCATTTCTTATGGACAATAATAATTCCATCACAGTAAATTTTTTTTTTAAACTAAGAAAAGTGGCTGGTGTCACTTAGTGAGCAGAAATGATTCAAATCTCTAAAACGCCTAAATGTGTCTTCTCATTCGTGTTTGGTTTGGGGGATTTTTTCTCTGCGTTCACTAGCTGTATACTCTGGCAGAATGTCTTGGGTGTCTGCCTAATTGGACTCTAACTTTGTGCCAGGACCTGAGTTTTCCATGATTCTTGGTTAGTGTGTCCTCTTATACGTGCTGAAATACGAGCAGCATAAAGAATGTATTTTAGTCGGTCAAATATCTCAGACTTTAACTGCCAGCCATTAAGTCAATTTCTCTGACAGTGGACAGAACAAATCACTTAATGACCTGTATAGTCATTGTCAAAAAGACAGCAATGTGAAACTACCTTCTTCAAAGTTTCCAAAATGAATCAGGATTTTCTTCTGAAAATTTTTATGAGGATTAATAAACTCTACAAATAATGGTAAAGGCTAGAAATATTTCATGGGAAAACAGAGCATCACTTGAGATTCAAGGGAGGAAGTCAATACGTGTGGTTAACCAGATGACTATGGACAACTATCAGTATGGAGACTCTTCATCAGCTGTTCAGGAGGGAGACAAGAGCTGACATGGGCTTGTCCTGAAAGTTGTGACATCAAATCTCTACCCAGATGACCCAGAATGGGAAAAGAACAATGAGATAAATAACTGAATGGCTTAGCCACGTGATCTGGGCGGGACAAGAACACAGGTCTGATCAGTGACTATGGTGATTGTATCATTATGGCAAAGCCTGACTGCCAATAGCTTATCAGCATGATAATGATCTCAGACTCTAAGGGTATGTGTTATTCTATAAAATACCCAACTTCTTTCCTTTTATGCAATCTGTGTCTTCCTTACTTAAGTCTTCTTCTTGTGACTGCTTTTTAATTCACACTGACAGAAAAGTTCTTGTGATAAACTTGACTGTTGTCGTCAGGAATTCCTCTTTAGTTCCATACAACTTTGAGTACAGTGTTGACCCAGTGAGCCAGTATTTATGCCCTTCCTAAAGGGCTGTAGAAGGGACATTCTTGCAGATAAGTCAAGTAAAGGACTCCTTTTTTAATGCAATGCTATATTACACTTTCATAGACCACTACATAACCCTCGGTGGGGGATGTGGTCAACACCACGCCGACTGGCCTTACTTACCAGGACATTACCCATTTTAAGTTGGGCTAACCTGGAAGCCAAGGTAAATTTTTTTTACCGGTGCAAATTTGAGCCCTTTGCATTCAGCCAGTGAGCATTTAGCCACTATGCCAGTGCAGTTCCATATAAAATAAAATTTATAAATTCAAACAACCAATGATGTGCCATCTCTGCAATGAAGGCTGGCTGTAATCAATGTTGCTTGTAGTCTTTGGTAGGGTAATAAATCATTTATATAATGCCTCATAATTAATCATTTACACAATACCTCAGTGCTGCTCATTATTTATTTAATGCGACATATGCTGTTGGATGACTAGACAAGCTGATAATCAACAAGAAGATATGACTTTTGGTTATTAGTATCTAAGAGTGTTATTTGAAGGTTGGCTGCAGTTTATCTAAAATATTTGTCACCCCTCTTTCAAGTTTCTGTATTAGGACAGACTGCTGTTCATCCATTTCTTGGCTTTAAAACAAGCCCCTGAAGTTGAAACCCACTAAGGAATGTGTAACAACTCACCTGCCGAATCAACCAGCCCTGAAAATGCATGGAGCTAGAGCGTCGGACCCATACCGGGCCATCTAGGCAATCGGTCGCTTGAATGGACATGGCTAAGGTAAGTAAGGGAGCTGTCGGGGTGGGGGTAGGAGCATGGGGAGTGATCCTGGGTGGTGGGAAATTGGGAAATATTCAAACGAAACAAATGACCTAAGCAGAGAAAGTAAACACTGACCAACAGTGACTGAAACATGTTCTAACCTTCACATTCTGGGGCAGTGTAGTGGACATTTTTCAGATTTTCACTAAAAGTCTTCACATGGTGATGAATGGCATCTGGTGCAACTGAGGACATAAGACAACTGACATGATCAATGTTCGGTTTTAGGAAATGTTCTACTAAAAAATATATTCACTAAAATACAAATGTCTGGTCATGTCACCTAGCATGTGTGTGTTTGTGCATGTGTTTGTCCGTATGTGAATAAAGTGAATTGACTCAAGGACTACGAGGCGACAGCCACAGTCGACCATAACTCTCTCTGCAGTATGCACCTTAATGGACTCTTTTCAACGTGAAATCCAAGGTTATCGAGAGCGACTGCCGGGATTTTAAACTATTATTATAACAGAAATATTTAATGGATATACATGTGTGGTATCTTAAAATGCTCAGAAAAGTTTAAAGTTCTGTGTGACTTTGTGTGACCGTGAGGCGTACAAGGGGCGCTGAGAAGATAAGGATCATCCAACATCGTAAGGACAGAGTTGTGGCAGCAACTGCAAATGTAACTCTAGACATGATTCAAGAGATGTGGCAGGAGACTAAATACCGTCTGACAGACATCCCCAGAGCAACAAATGGCACCCATATGAATAAGTGCAGATACTAAGGCATGTCTAAAACTTCAAACTTTTCTGAACATTTTATGATGTCACATAATAATATAACAAGAGTTGAAAATCACCGCAATCACTCTCCACGACCCTGTCATCTTCTGCCTTTCTAAGCCCCAATGGAGCATAGGCCCTCAACCACCTCACGTCAAGTCGTTCTATCCTTCGCATGCAGCTCTCCCCATGTCCTCCCCATCTTATTAACCCTGTCACCATGACCCCATATAGTGGATATGCTGTACTAACCCAATCATTATACAGACCAATCAGCATTCAATGGGTGACACAATATCATTCCAGGTGCGTTTACTTTCTAGAACACTTCCCAGTACTCATGTAAGGCTGGGTCAAGCTGAAAGCCAAGGTAGTTAGTTTTTTAATCCCGGCCTCAAAGTGGGCTTGAACATAGACAAATATGTCAGCCACCTCTGCAGTTTCTACTCAGTGGTTATTCTGTATGGGAGCCGCAGTGGTGTAGGAGCTGAATGCTCACCTGCGGATCATGGTCATGGGTTCGAATCCACACTGAGTTTGACTTTTTTTTTTTTTCAAAAGGGAACTTAGCTCATATCCTAAAAATGCGTACCAGGAAAAGTCATGGGAGGTGGGGTAAAGGCAGCTGATCAGATGACCCACAGAGTGCCAACTGGGGTAAAAACAGAGGTCCAGCACTAAATACTCAATACCTCTGAAGGCGTGGGAACGGATTAATTAATAACTTACTTTAGTTATTCTGTATGCTACAATATTTTGTCTGATCAATAAGTATATTAGTGGCTCTCAATCTTCCGAATGCCACGACCATTTCAAACAGTTCCTCTTCAATGTATATGTGTTTTCCTATGGTTTTAGGTGACCCCTGTGAAAGGGTTGTTCGACCCTCCCCCCACAAAAAAGGGGTCATGACCTACATGCTGAGAACCGCTGATCTATATCTTCCACTGCTGCAGCTGCCATTCTTATTCTCTTACAGTCGTCTTCTTCTTCTTCGTGTTCACCAGCGCAGCTGTAAACTCTGGCGGAAAGTTCAGGTTGCTCGTCCACTTCTGGACTGCAGTCCTGTTCCAGAACCTGAGTGTTGCGTGTTCATCCGTTGTACAGATCTGATTCATTTGTATGCAGACTGCTGGTTCCTTGCCTCTCAGCAGATGCACTCCGACTTTGATGCAAGCTCCCAATTAGTCAACTCTTACAACATGCTTTTGGGTAAGCGGTGGGTCTATTCTTTTTCTTCCCTATGACAGGGCCCCGGAAACCACACGGCGATCTTAGTTTGACAAACAAAAATTTTTTGGTTTTACAAATAACATAGCAACAACTGTTGTACAAATTGCCCATGTTACTAGATATCACTTTACATTTGTCATTATTAGCAAATACAATTGTCTCAGTTATAGTAATTGAAATTATCACTGAAATATGATGACAAAGAGCATACCCAGAAAAGCAAACAAAATTACTGACACTGGCGAATACACTTGATTTACAGGGGAAAAAATGCTCAGTATGTACATATGGCTAGTCGTCTCGTAGGTTATCAAATTCTTACAGTATATAAAGGTGATGGTAGCTGCTATGGTGTAGCAGCTAGATGCTTGCATGTGGATTGGAAGGACCTGGGTTTGGGTCTTGGTGGAGCTGGACTTGAGAAAAAAAAAAAAAAAAAAACCTTGGCTTCAATGGAGACCTAGCCTTGAGTGGGTACCAGGTATAGTTCTGATAAGTGAGAGCGGCCGGCGTGATGTTGACAACAACATCACCCACCATATACTGACTGGTCTATAAAATATAGGTCTAGCCCTACATGCCCAGTATGCCTGAAGGCGTGCAGGGGAAAAAAAAGATAAAGGTTATGAAAGATAACAGACATTTGACATATGGTCTTTATACTTATATATATATATATATATATATGGTATATTTATATTATATATATATATATATATATATATATAAATATATATATATATAAAATTATTTAAATCATTGTACAAACAAATGAAGTGAAGGCCTTCACGGCTTTGGTGACATTCTAAGACAGGAAAACGTTCAACAAAATACTAAAAGGCAAAATACCACAAACATGAAGAAAGGGTAGGTGAAAAGTTTGTATTTAAAAAAAAGTGGCATGCAAAGATCTATCAATGAAGACAAACACGAACAAGCAAATAGTGGAAAAAGTACTCTAAGATCTCTCTAGGGTTGAACTAAGTGGTGGTTGGGCCTTCCTCCACTTTTCTGAGAGGAAAAGTTTATGATAACGTAATAGGTGGGCCCCAAAATAAATAACATACATGTGTATGTGTTTTTTTTTTTTTTAATTATTAACGGGAGCTTGGCTCACAAGCTCAGTTGGGAAAACCTGACTGTGAGGCGACCGGGTGACGAACTCCTTGTGGTCTGGGTTCGCGCCCAAGGGTAGGCAGAAAAGTCACATTTCTCCCAGATTTACTGTATCTATCATGGAATCAAGGCTGCGATATACACAGTACCGAGCCAAAGCTTAATAACTCATGGTTTCTAGATATTTAAAAAACAAAAAACTGGGAAACATTTTTAAACATCTGAAACTGCAATGTTATTCTGGCAATGAATAAAGACTGGAGACAAAATAATGGCTTCTACTGATCCTATTTCCAGTATACAAAGTAGTATTATACATGTAAAATCATAATTAATAAATTTTTAAAAACTGACTGTGAAAACACTCAGTAGTATGAGAAACTAAAGAAAGAAAAGTAGACAAAAAACACTAATGAAAACAGACAGAAAATTGTAACTGTAAAGGCCTGCTTCTCCAGAATCTCCCGCTCTAAGATGATACGACACTTTCTGTCCCCGCGGAGTGAATTAGCAATGCCAGCAGAGCATGCCTTGTGGAATTTAAATCACGACAGGGAGGTCAAACAGTATGAACCATTCTGCCCTGGAAACTCTATATTATGGCAATATGGGTCATGAGCCCGTAGAATTCTGCGAAAAAAAATCTTTTTTTTTTTAAATCATTTTACACAGGTCACTTATTAATTTTTTTTAAAATTATTATTTACATTTAATATGTGTGTGTGTGTGTACATATAAATAAATGTATGTTTGTTTTTTAAATTATCTACATTTACCATGAGTGTATGTGTGTGTGTATATATATATACACACCTTTCTTGACCTTGATAATAATGGGGTCATCATGTTTTTTTTTAAAATGTCAGGCATTTATCAAATTTTATTCCCAGGTATTCCATGCAGCAATCAGAACATTATTTGTGATCAATATCTGAATTCAAGGACAGTCAAACATATTCTGTAACAATACCAAAGGATTTATCAACAGCAGACGAAACACTGGTCCACTGGGATGACAAAAGTCTACAAAAGCTATCCGAGTCTCAAAAAGCTCTTAAATATTACAACATTATACACCGAGAGAAGAAAATAGCCAGAACTTTCGTGAAGATACATCACCACAGCAACAGTGCAGGAAAACAAATATAGGAGGATCAGAAGTCAAGAATGAGAAGAAGAGCAAGAACAAGAATCTGCAGCAGACTATAAGACTCAACAAAAAGCAAATATACTGCTTCCCTGCAATTCCCATTCAATAGCATTTGCTTGTACTAAATGGCCCAGTGTTAAAATTGCCCCAGCGGGGCAGGATTTTGGCACGACCAGGTGTCTAAAGTGTCAAGCTGCCCAAAAATATCAACACCATTACATTTTCTTGAAGGTGAAGCATATCATCCCGACCCACATAGGCCTGTTGGTTATGCCTGGCTGATGTAGCTGTTATGGGTGACCAGATTTCAACTTCTCTGGAGGTTAAATGGGGTATCTGGGGTCTGCCTTGTTGGTCTGCCATTCAGAATGAGATTCTCCTTGTGTGGGTTCCAGGGTCCCATTGTAGGGAAAACAAGAACAGACCCACTGAATCCCCAACAAGCATGTCTTAAGTGTCGACTAATCAGGGGTTTCCTTTGAAGTTGGAGTGCACCTGTCTGACAGGCAAGAAACCAACCGTCTGCACACAAATGTAAGATCTGTAAAAGTGGATGTACACCCAACTCCCAGGTTCTGGAAAAAAGTCGTCCATAGCTGGATAAACAACCAAAACTTTCCACTAAAGTTTACAGCCGGTGAACGCGAAGAAGAAGATGTCATAGAAAACCTTTAAGCAGACACCCAAAGGAAACAATCTAATCGAACTGGAGGAAAGGCTTAATACTGACAATTCACTAATTGAAAACTATGGTATATCTCGAAAATGGCATGAAAAGAGGTCTTTAAATTAGGTTTGTTTTTAAAACAAAATGTTATTGTCTACTGGCCAAAAGGTCTTGGTTTCAAATCGGCATCAAGGCAGACTGTCTTCATAAGCGACCCTGGCGCTAGGTCAACCTAGCCTAATATGGGTACCAGGAAATGTCCTGGGAAGTAAAAGGAAACCAACAAGC